AAATACAAAAATCAGCCCCAGCATGGTGGTGCATGCCTACAATCCCAGCTACCTGGGAAGATGAGGCAGGAGAATCGCTTGAACCCGGGAGGCAGAGGTTGTAGTGGGCTGAGGTGGCGCCACTGCACCACTCCAGCCTGGACAAAAAGAGCAAGACTATGTCGCTCCCCGCAAAAAAAAAATTGTGTGCAGGTTTTTGTGTAGACATAATGTTTGTTTTGTTTTGTTTTGTTTTGTTTTAAACTGAGTTTCGCTCTTGTTGCCCAGGCTGGAGTGCAATGGTGTGATCTCAGCTCACTGCAACCTCCGCCTCCTGGGTTGAAGTGATTCTCCTGCCTCAGTCTCCAGAACTACTGAGATTACAGGTACCCGCCACCATGCCCAGCTAATTTTTGTTATTTTTAGTAGAAATGAGGTTTCGCCATGTTGGCCAGGCTGGTCTTTAGCTCCTGACCTCAGGTGATCCATCCGCCTTGGCCTCCCAAAGTGCTGGGATTACAAGCGTAAGCCACCTTGCCCTGCCTGTGTTGACATAAATTTTTGGCTCCTCTGAGTAAATACCAAGGAGGGCAATATGCTGGATCATATGAGAGTACGTTTAGTTTTGTAAGAAGCTGCTGAACTGTCTTCCAAAGTTGCTGTACCTTTCGCATTCCCAGTAGCAATGCATGTGAGCTCCTATTGTTTCACATTTCTTGTCAGCACTTGGTGTTGTCAGTGTTCCGGCTTTTGGCCATTCTAATTAGTAGGTGTGTTGTGGTATCTCATTTTTGTAGGGTTTTTCTTTTCTATCTCATTTTCTTATTGATTATTGATATATATGCTGTTATGCCTTTTCGTATATTAACTTTGTACCCGGTAACCTTGCTGAACTCTTTTTATTTTTGAGATGGAGTTTCGCTCTTGTCGTCCAGGCAATGGCACAATCTTGGCTCACTGCAACTTCCGCCTCCCAGGTTCAAGCGATTTTCCTGCCTCAGCCTCCTGAGCAGCTGGGATTACAGGCATTAGCTACCACACCTGGCTAATTTTTGTATTTTTAGTAGAAACGGGGTTTCACCATGTTGGTCAGGCTGGTCTCGAACTCCTGACCTCGGCCTCCCAAAGTGCTGGGATTACAAGTGTGAGCCACCATGCCTGGCCATGAACTCTTTTATTAGTCTTTCAAATTTTCTATGTGGAAAATCA